TTACCTTTCAGCAATTATGAACACTGCTGCTATGAACATCTGTATTGTTATGCTGATCTTCCTCTCAGTTATATAGAAGTAGAGCTGCTACATTATATAGTAATTCCACACTAAACTATTAGAAAAAAATGCCAGAATGTTTTCCAAAGGGTCTTAGTGCTTTCCATTTCCAACAGCAGTGTGTTTCAGCTTTTCCACAACCTTGTCACGACTCGTTATGACCTGCGTATTTGATTTTAGCTAACCTAGCCTATGTGAAGCGGTACACTGCAGTTGGATTTGCATTTCCCTGACCACTCATGATGTGGAACTTTTCAATGTGTTCACCAGCCACTAGCATATCTTTGGGGAAATGACAACACAGACCTTTTACCTGTTTTAAAATTGCACTTTCTTTTTTACTGTAGAACGTGACTTCATCACTATTCTAGTAATGTCCTTTATAAGATTCAGATATGTACAGTTATTTTCTTATACAATGTTCTTATGTCACTTTTTCAGTGTTCTCTGAAGCACAAGAATTAATTTTGATGCTTTTTTACTTGTTTCTCATGCTTTGAAGCCATATCTAAGAATCTATTGTTCAGTATAAGGATGCAAAGATCAATTTCTAAATTATCTTCTAAGATTTTTATGCTTTCGGTTCTACTACAAATGCTTTACTATCCAGGCATGGTGATACTTGGGAAGGTGAGATGGGAGGACTGCCATGAGCTCAAGGCCAACCTGAGCTGTATAACGAGTGAAAGACCAGCCTGAACTGTATAGCGAGACCCTGTCTAAAAAAAAGAATTGTCGTGATGCATTTTAAAGTTTATTTTTAAATAACGGTGTAAAGTAAGATCTGGAGTGGAGTGAACTGTACCTTCAAAATCTTAATCAATAGTATATGTGACCTTATACGGAATGGGTACTTTCCAGATGTGATTAAGGATCTCACGATGAGACCACACTGGAGGCATTGCAGTCCTGAATCCAAAGTCGGGTATCCTAGTAGAAGACTGAAACAGGATAACTGCCACAGGACACAGGGAAGAAGACCATATGAAGATGGAGAGTTATGCTGCCATGTGCCAAAGAATGCTGGAAGGCATCAGAATAGAGATAAGGCAAGGAAAGACTTTGGAGTCATTTAACACATTGCCACTAAATGTAATTAATGATACACCTGGATTCTGTCACTGCAATGTTTGTCTCCTGTGTCACATGGTGTGTGTGTGTCTTCATTCCTCCTACTTTCTTTTATATTAAGTACATATTTTTAATGTGGGATTTAATGTCTTTATGGATTTTCCCAGTTCTCTCCTCTGTTGATGCCACCTGTCTTGTGGCCTTTCAATTTATACCAAGTTCTAGTGAAACACAGAAGTGCTACTCTGACACAGTTCTACTGCCTTCCCTCTTTTTTGTGATATTACTGTTAATAATACCACATCGACAAATTTCAAAATACAGTAATATCTTCTTATAATTATTTTGTTACATAACTGAAAATTTTTAAAGAACCTGAGAGGAAAGGGAAGAAGTGTCGACTTATTGTTGCTATTATGATTTCTGATTCCCTTCTTTCATTCCTGTAGATTTAGTACAGTTAGAAACAGTGGAGCTAAGGAACACACTAACTTCCACCCACTCTATTTCAAACAGCGACCTAGGGCCATGCCTCCTTCCACTGTCCTGGGATCTTCAGTAGCTCTAGCTGCTTCCCACTTGCTAACCAGGGTGCACTTGTAATTTATCACTTGCCATAATTTATCACTCATCAGAAACAAGAACCTGGATTATAACTGTTAAATTTTTCATGTGGTAAAATTTTGGTGAGTCAGCAAGAAGAAATCAAAGAAGACCAGACAAACAATCAGCAGTCAAAAGCAACCCAGCCAAGCAGGAAGACAAGCCCATTGGGGGGGCACTTCCTCCTCTCATCTCCTTTTAACAAGTGACCAAGCACGCTTGTTGGGTATACGGGAAGGATTCCATTTAGAGATGACCAGCCTGTGGAACAAAAGTTCTCCACCTCTGTGCTGGGTGGAGGGCCCATGTGGGTCAGCAGGAGTTGTATTTTGCTGGTGCATGCAGCATAGTAACTGCATCCTACCACCTGTCATTCAACTTTCCTCCAGAAGGGTTGGACCTGGCCCGAGGCAAATGGAGGCAGTCTTCAGGTGAGTGTTCTGGCCTGGCACAGCTGAGCCTAGTGGGCGACTGGGATACATGGTCCTTTCTCTGGGGAGTGCAGTTGGTAGCATGGCTTGCACCATGTAGACTTCAGCATTTGTTTAGCACCAAGGGTGTTCAAAGGCAAGCAACAAGTCATGTACTCATGCTGCATAGTGCCCTTCATGATTTGCTTTTTTCCCTCTCCCCTTTGGAGAAACTTTGATTCCCTTCTTGTCTCTCATAAGAAAATTTAAATGACTCAGTTTTTGGTGCTGAGCAACTCAGAAACACAGAGCTGGAAAGTATAGTGCTTTCCCATGCTGAGACAGGAAAATCTACTTCAAAGTTCAAGTTATTCAAAGAGCCAGCCTCAGTGACTCTTCTGGGTTGCAATAGCCATGTAAGGCCGTCTGCTCCTGGGTCATTTCTCTAACACTGCTTCTGTACATTTTGCTTGGTTTTACTTTTGTTGTGATAACTGTGGCCTCAAATTTGTGATCCTATTGTGCCAGGGATTTAGCTCAGTGGTTCCGCTGCCTGCCTCACAAGCTCAAGGTCCCAAGTTCAATCCCCAGGGACAAAAAATAAATAAATAAATAAAAACTAAAAAAAGTTTATGAGCCTATCTAAAAGGGGTGTAACTGTGTGTTGACAGAATTTACATCAAGCCTGACTCTTTTTTTGAGGTTTTTGTCACTAGACATTTATGCTTTATGACATTATCTAATTGGATGTTTCTCTTTTTTTCCTGAAAAAATGCTTTATTCGCTTTCTTAGCCTGCCATAGAGTGGGAGACCACCTGTGGAAGTACCTGTTTCTCAG